CTGCTCAGTCCTGTACCAGTTACAAAGGCAAAAGTTGCCAAGATAGGTCCATACAGATGCTCATAGTAGCAATATTTGCAAGATAATCCTCTCAAGAACATATTGAGAACTAAAGAAACAATGTATAGCAAATAAAATACTGGAAAAATATTTTTGTTCAATTACCATTGATATTACTTGTGATGCTGGCATTGTGATTGCTAGAAGAATTCTCATCTGCAATAATATCAACTATGATTTTTGCACAGCATCTCTAAGATTTTATCATACAAGGCAGTACTATTTTTAAAATAATTTGATTTATTTTCATAAAATCTGAATTCCAATCTTAACAGTCTAAATCTAAAGAATCATTCCAAGAATTAATATTTGAAATGCATACTTGTGCCTTTCCCTTTAGGAATTTATTCTTGGCACAAAACATCTATTTTACACATTCTTAGGTGATTTCTTCACACTTGGAAAGTCTTAAAGTATATATGAGATGTATCATTATCACACACACATACCTCAACTCCAACACCCCTTAATTTGCAACATTCAGTTCACGAAAATAATTTTTTCAAGGAGTTCCAATATTAAATTTTCAGGATTCCATTACAATTATGGCATTGGTATAATAAATGTAAAAGAATTTATTTTTTTCTATTTCATAGACCATTTAGAAAATATATACAAAGATTTAAATGGACCAATATGAATTTACCTCTTAAGAATTTCATCACAGAAAATCATAACTTTTGTTTGGATTTACTTCTGGGGAATTCTGTAGGATGTCACTGGTAATCCCATTTAAAAATTCCAGTTCAAATAGCTAACTAAATACTTGGGTATACTGATGTCAGCGAAATAACAGAATATAAAAATAAATCCATCTAAGTGATAAAATGACTGGAACAGGTTCTCCAGATCATCTGAACAGTGCAAGAGCTGGTAAGAATTGACATACTTGAAGAACTGAGGAATTGACCCTAGATTTGTATAAGAGAAAATTTCTTAAAAAAAAAAACAAAACTGAAAGTGAATTCTTCCTAGAAGAAACATAAAAATGACAACAACAAACAAAACAATAACAACACAAGAAAAAAACTCAACAGAGCAGAGGCAGTTGAAAACACTGGGTCACAAAATGGAAATGAATTTTAAATGTAAATGGACTAAATTCTCCAATCAAAAGATGTAGGTGGCTGAATGGATAATAAAACAAGACCCAATTATGTTGCTTACAAGAGATTCATGTCAGCTTTAAGGACACACACAGACTGAAAGTGAAGAGATGGAAAATGAAATTGCATACAAATGGAAATCAAAAAACTATACTAAGACACAATACACTTGACATCAAATACTGTAACAAGAGACAAAAATTATTAGAGCATGATAAAGGGGTCAACTCATCAAGAGGATATAACAATTATAAATATTTTATACACCCAACAACAGAACACCTAAATAAATACAGCAAATATTAACAGATCTGAAATATTACAGCAATACAATAATAAACAGATTTCCATACCCTGCTTTCAACATTAGATAGATAACTCAGTCAGAAAATCAGTAAGGAATCACTGGACATAAAGTTAGACCAGCTGAACCTGTCAGACATATACAGAACATTCCAACAAACAGCAGAATATATATTTTTCTCAGATGCATATGGAACATTCTACAGGATAGATAATATGTTAGGCCACAAAAAAAGTCTCAATAATTTAAGAAGACTGAAATCCTTATCAATCATCTTTTCTGACCACAATGGTATGAAATTAGAAATCAATTGCAAGAATAAAACTGAAAAGTCCACATATGAACAACATACTTCTGAACAACCAATGGGTCAAAGAAGAAATAAAAAAGGAAATAAAAAAACTTTAGACAAATGAAAATTGAAACACCACATACTAAAACTCACAGGATGCAAGAGTTCTAAGAGGAAATTTGATAGTGATAAATGTCTACATTAAGAAAAAAAAAGATCTCAAATAAACAACTGAATTTTACATCTCAGGAAACAAAAAAGGAATAGATTAAGCACAAAGATAGCAGACAGAAGAAAATAACAAAGAAAGGAGAAATAAATAAAACAGATTAACAGTACAAAAGAAAAGATGATTGAAACTAGGCTGGTTTTTTGAAAAGATAAACAAAATTGACAAACCTTTACCTAGACTAAGAAAAAAAGAAGGCTAAAATAAATAAAAAGCTAGAAATGTAAGAGAAGACATTATACCTGAAATACAAAGGGTTATAAAACATTATACAATTTGTGGTAACAAATTAGATAAACAAGAAGAAATGGATAAATTCCTAGAAACAGATAACTCAACAAGACCTGAATCATGAAGAAACAGAAAGTTTGAATAGACCAATTACTAGTAAGGAGGTTGAATCAGAAGCCAAAAACCTCCCAACAAAGAAAGTCTGAGGACCAGATGCCTTCACTGGTGAATGCTACCAAACTTTAAAAGAAATAATGCCAATCCTTCTCAAACTCCTCTAAAGAATAGAAGAAACACTTTCAAACTCATTTTATGAGGCCACTGTTACCTTGGTACCAAAATAGACAAGGACACTTCAAGAAAAGAAAATCACAGGCCAATATTCCTGAAGAACATAGATGCAAAAATCCTCAAGAAAATACTAACAAACAGAATTCAACAATACTTTAAAAGGATCATATACCATGATCAAGTGGGATTTATTCCTGGGATGCAAGGATGTTCAACATACATAGATCAGTAAATGTGATACATCTACATTAACAAAATAAAGGATAAAAATCATATCTCAATAGATGTCCAAAAAAAGCATCTGACAAAAATTAACATCCATGTATAATAGCAACTCTCAATAAACTGGGTATAGAGGATACATACCTCAGCAAAATAAATGCCATATATGACAAGTCCACAGTTAATATCATACTAAAGAGTGAAAAGTTGAAAACTTTTCCTTTTAGATCAGGAACAAGACAAAGATGTCCACTTTCACTACTAGCAGTCCTAGCCAGAACAATTAGGTAAGAAAAAGAAATGAAAGGTGTCCATATTGGAAAGGAAGAAGCAAATCATCTGTTTTCAAATGACATGTTATATGTAGAGAACACTGAAGAAGGCATCAAATAACTGTTAGAACTAATAAATGCATTCATTAAAGTTGCAAGATACAAAAACAATACACAAAAATTAGTTGTGTTTCTATATACTAGCAATGAATTATCAGAAAAAGAAATTAAGAAAATACAATAAAAAGGAATGGCAGATCAATTAATTAAAAGGTAACAATCATGACAACTATTTGTTTCAGAGAAGCTGGTTCTAGCATCAGTATTCCACTTCCCCTACATAAAGTACTGCATTTACTTTTCTAAAGCAAAAGAACTTATTTAGGAGAATTCTAAAGTGAGTATTGTGAGGAAATTTCTGAATTTTGAGGTTAAAGGAAAAACCCTAAACAGTTACAAAGAAAAAGATAATTTCTTTTCCAAGAGAAAAAGGCAGTGGATCCTCAGTGAAAGAAGACAACAAAATGATTTTGGTTGAGTTTCAAGAGAAAATTTTAACTTAGAATTCTACATTCAGATAAACTATCAATCTAGTATGGGAGCAAAATGTAAGTATACAAAATTTTTGAAATGATTGAAACTGTTCAACAAGAAACTGGTATAAATACAAGAAGAAAGGAGAAAGGTGAAAGACAGTAGGAAATTTTAATATATTTCTTATAGCACCCAACTACTCAAATAAACCAAAAAAAAAGTACAACAAATTTTAACAATACAATTAATAAGCTAGATTAAATAGAAATACTTAAAACTATGTGGACATAATAATGAAGAATGCATAATATTAGACATTTTAAAATAATAACCAAGTCTACAAAACATCAGGGCATTAAAAACACTTGGTCATGGATTTAGCCACAAGGAAAACAGCAAGGCTGGATTATCAGATGTAACAAAACTAGAAATCAACAATAAAAGCTAATCATTTCCATCATTCCCCATTCACTAATAATATCTATTTACTTAGAAATTTCAAAACATTGGTTTAAATAGTACTAGAGTAAAACAGAACAAAAACTGCAGTCACAGATAACAAAAAAGAATAATGAGTCCAAACTATGGAATGCAAAGTAGTACTCAAGGGGAAATTTAGAACTTTAATGGAATTTATTAGACTATAAGATTGAAAAATAAATGATTTAAGAATTCAGCTGAAGGAAATATAAAAATAGCAATGTCCATTACCACAAGGAATTTACACACATATATGTGTGTATATATATGTATGTGTGTATATATATATCCACATATCCACACACATATATATGTATATGTATATGTATGCAGGGGTAGGGGAGAGAGAGAAGGAGGAAAGATGGAAAAAAAAGAAGGAAGGAAGGAAAGAAACAATCTCTTTTTATAAGTATCATGTATAAGATATAAGTATATATTTACAAAGGAGAAAGCTGAAGTATGGACACGAACAGTATTCATACTCACATGGCTGAGAGACTTTATTTTTTATGATTCCAACTTCAATTTTCTTATATAGGAAAAACTTGCTTCCCATTTCTGGGATATATAATTAGTCTGCTAAGCAACTTTATCAATGCCATACCTTTGTTAACAGTATCTATAACTGTCTCCTTTTCATTCTCACATAAATAAAGATAATGGACTTCAATTAACTTTACATACACATTTACGGAAATGTATCAAATTAATAGAAGTCACGTAAATCAAGCTGAGCAAATGACTGAGTCACCCAACCCGTAAATTCAAACTAAAATTATATACTGTAACTTTCAGATTAGTCATATTTAACTTGTGGAAGAACCTGAAAATCCTTCAAAAATCAGGTCTACAAAACAAATATTTTAATATCCTTAAATTATTTTATTTTAAAATTGTATTATAATATGTGATGTTATATAAATTTCTATGTACTTTTCCAATACCAGCTTTATGAGTTGTATATTTCTAGATATCTTACCTTCTTTGCAGCAGAAGGGGGTTCCTTTTTCATACTTCTTAGTAAAAACTCTGGCATGTTATTTTCAATATCCTCACGAGTCCCCTTTTTATGCAAAACTGCAGCCAAAAATGAAATAACCTGGAAAAAAAAAACCAAATGTGTTCAATCACTGTATATAATGTTATCACCATGGACAAAAATTTTTTGCTTATATGGTTAACTACCTAATTAGTGACAATTTGAGTATGTACAAATAGATTTGTTAGTGGGAAAAATGTAAAACACTAGTATTGGTTTTATGTGTATTAAGAAACATATGTATAATATAGATTATTACCCTTGAATACAGTAAAATAAATTCTCGCATTACCATCTCTTTCATGATAATTATAACTAGTCAATGATTCTTTCTTGATCTCATCAATTGAGACTTTATCTTCTTATTTGTTTCCATCGATGGAAACTCTGTATCGTCTACTGAAATAAACTACATATATTTTTTTTCCTTGTAGAATATAAACTACTTAAGGAGATAATATTTGGCTCATAAATTTGTGTACTTCTGTTTATGTAATAAACAGGTAAAATGAGAGAATGTTATATTAAGATATACTAAGACAATTCATCAATGTGCACAGCATTTTGAATAATAGTTATTCTCCAAATACCAAGTGGGAGAAACAAAGAGACATAGAAAAAAGGAAATATAACTTCATATAATGAAGAGCAAGAAATACTTAATCAACTGGATTTTGGCTCAAATTTCAGCCTTAGTAGCTTGGCAGTTATGTGAACTTGGACAAGTTAACCTTTTAGAGTAATTGTAAAAAATATGTGAAAATAGCAAAAACAATATTGGCAGACTTGTTTTAAAGAATAGAGGGGAGTTTGTGAAGTATACATATGGGGGAAAAGAGCTGATCATTACAACAGAAAAGTAAAGTATATGAATATTAAAACCTAAAGACAAAATATGAGAGAATTAGAAAAACTATCCAAAAATAACTTTTTATTATGGGTGTGGACACCTATAATCTGAATCCTAAGTGACAGACAAAAGAAAAAGAATACTGTAGAAGTATTTGAAGAGACAAATGCTGAAAACTTTTTAAAAACTGGTAAAAAAAAATCAAGCCATATATCTCAGATGTATTATGAACAGCATCAAGCCAGAAAATAAAAATAAATAAATCGAAAAGTAGGTCCTTCATAGAAGAACTGCTTAAAACTGAGAGAAAAACAAAATATTAAAAGCATCCAGAGGAGAAAACAAGATGACCTAAAAAAAGCAACAATGAGACAAGGAGCTGACCTTGTAGCAAAAACAATGGAAGACACCATACAATAGAATATTTCCAAAGTGCTGAAGAAAGGAAAAACCTAGTTTTACACCAAGTGAAAATATTCAAGAATTAATATGAAGATATTTTTAGACAAAAACTATGCAAATTCACTAAGAGAGCCACTAAAGAAAATAACAAAAGGATGTTTTGAGACACAAGGAAAATTATCCAATATAGATACTCAATGATGCAGTGAAAAATTAAGAGCACCAAAAATGATAAATATATATAAAATATAAATGTATATTAACATTAGGAAAAAAAGATTAAATGTCCTGTTGGAATCAAATAACAGAAGAATTAAAAGATATGACAACAAATATATATGGGTTAGAAAAGGCAGAGCAATTACAGTATTGTGGGGTCCTGATGCTGTCCAGGAGGAAAAAAAAAGTACTAATTTATATATTGATGTCAAGGATATGTTACAATTACTAGGGTATCCACTAGAAGAAAAATACAGTAACGGGTAACTACTAACCTATTAAGAAAGGGATAATAGAATAATACGAAATAACCTATCCAAAAGAGGCAAAAAAGAGGAGGAAAATGAACATAAATGACATGCAACAAATAAAAAACAAATAGTAAAACAGTAGGCTTCTATGTAAATGTATTAGAAAGCACATTACATAGAAATGCACTAAATGCTCTAATTAAAAGAAATATTTCAGGAGCATTAAATATATGTGTCAATGAAGATGAGGGAGGTTTAAAGATGGCAGCATTAGAGGTGAAAGAGAGGTCTCCTCACAAAACCACATATAATATGAAAACATAGCTAATACAACTAATTCTGAAAGAGCAACAGGAAAGAAGGCTTCACCAGACTGCATATATCTGGAGAAAAGAACAGACCTCATGAAACACAGTAACGTACCAAGGCTGTGTTCTGGTGGGACCCAAGCCATTTCCTCACCCCAGCTCACTGGCAGGAGTAAGAGGAATGGAGCGGAGAATGGGTGGAACCTAGGACTGCTGAACACCCAGACCTGGAGATCTGCTTTGGAGATTAGTGGGGTTGGAAACTTAAGACAGGCGGAATACATGCAGAAACTAGGATTCAAGCTGCATGTGGAAAACAGGGATCCACATGGGGCTGTTCTGGGACAAAAGAAAGATGGGCAGTCTGAGAGACTGCCTAACAGCAAGAGTGCTGCTAAAGGGGCAAGGACTGAACAGAGCTTGCTGCTCAGAAGAAAGGACATGTGGACAAAATTGCTCAGGCATACCCTGCCCAGCAGGTTGGGAACATTCAGGAACTTGAGGTGCTCCATCCCACTAGCTGGCTATAGAGCTCTGAGGTACCCAACCATGATACGCAGCCTGCTGCGCCTTCCTCCCTAATGTCACAGGCTCGCAAACTGGCAGCTCCTGCCCTGGCATCAGGTCAGAGAGAGGGAGGCCCTGCCTATGGCAGCTACAAGCACAAAGCAGAGAGACTTATACCTGTGTTCTTGGCCCACTGGTTCTGGCAGTGGAGACAGGGACAGCAACCAAGAAGCAGGAAACAGCTATTTCCTCCGCCCAGGCACCACACCGCTCACCTGCAACTCTCGACATCACTGCAGGGGCTAAGCAGCTCCAGAAAGTAGATATTCTGGGCACAGGAGGCCTCTACATACAAATATGAAATGTCAAAGGAACCTGGTCCAAACCAAAACCCCACAAAAACACAAGAAAGAGGGCCAAGTGAAACTGAACTCATCAATCTTCCTGAGATTTCAAAATAAAAATTATAAATACGCTCATGGAGGTACAGAAAAATATTCAAGAACTCAGGGAGGAATTCAAGAATGAGATACAACATTGAAGAATACAGTATCTAAAATGAAACATACAATGGAGAGACTTAAAAGCAGATTAGACAAAGTAGAGGAGATGGTAAATGAAATAGAAATTAGAGAAGAGGAATACAAAGAAGCTGAGGCACAGAGAGAAAGAAGGATCTCTAGAAATGAAAGAATATTGAGAAAACTGTGTGACCAACCCAAATGGGACAATATTCATGTTACAGGGGTACCAGAAGAAGAAGAGAGAAAAAGGGATAGAAAGTACCTTGGAGGAGGTAATTGCTGAAAACTTCCCCAATCTGGGGAAGGATGCTGTCTCTCAGGACATGGAGGTGCAAAGATCTCCCAACACAGGGGACCAAAAGAATACAGCACCAAGACATATAATAATTAAAATGGCATAGATCAAGGATAAGAACAAAATATTAAGAGCAGCCAGAGAGAGGAAAAAGATCACATGAGAAGGAAAACTCATCAGGCTATCATCAGACTTCTCAACAGAAACCTTACAGGCCAGGAGGGAGTGGCATGACGTAGTTAATGCAATGAAGCAGAAGGGCCTCGAACCAAGAATACTCTGCCTGGCAAGATTATCATTTAGATTTGTAGGAGGGATTAAAAAATTTTCAGATAAGCAAAACTTGACAGAATTTACCTCCAACAAACCATCTCTGCAGTGTATTTTGGAGGGACTGCTATAGATGGAAGTGTTCCTAAGGTTAAATCACAACCAGAGGAAATAAAACCACAGTAAAGAAAGTACAACAATTACTAAACACATGCAAAATCAAATTAACTACCCCCAAAGTCACTTAAGGGACAGATAAAGACTACAGAATATGATACATAATATATAAAGAATAGAGAAGGAAGAAAGGAGGGGAAAATAAAAAACCTTTAGATTGTGTTTGTAATAGCATACTGAGTTAAATTAGACTGTTAGATAGTAAGGAAGTTAGCCTTGAACCTTTGGTAACCACGAATCTAAGCTGCACTGGCAATAAGTACATGCCTATTGATATTCACACTAAATGTAAATGGTCTGAATGCAACAATCAAAAGACACACAGTCACTGAATTGATAAAAAAACAAGACCCGTCTATATGTTGCCTACAAGAGACTCACTTCAAACTCAAAGACATACACAGACTAAAAGTGAAGGGATGAAAAAAGATATTCCATGCAACTAATAGGGAGTAAAAAGCAAGTGTTGCAGTACTTGTATCAGACAAAAAAGACTTCAAAACAAAGAAAGTAACAAGACACAAAGAAGGACATTACACAATGATAAAGGGGTCAGTTCAACAAGAGGATACAACCATTATAAATATCTATGCACCCAACACAGGATCACCAACATATGCAAAACAAATACTAACAGAATTAAAGGGGAAAATAGAATGCAATGCATTCATTTTAGGAGACTTCAACAGACAACTCACTCCAAAAAACAGATCAATGAGACAGAAAATAAGTAAGGAGACAAAGTAACTGAACAACAGATTAAACAGATGGACCTAACACACATCTACAGAGCACTCCACCCAAAAGCAGGAGGATACACATTCTTCTCTTATGCACATGGAACATTTACAAGAAGAAATCAGATACTAGGCCACAAAAAGAGCCTCAGTAAATTTTAAAAAATTGAAATTACACCAAACAGTTTCTCAGATCACAAAGGTATGAAACTAGAAATAAATTATGCAACGAAAACAAAAAGCTCACAAACACATGGAGGCTTAACAACATGCTCCTAAATAATCAATGGATCACTGACCAAATAAAAACAGATCAAGCAGAGAAGGGAGCCAAGATGGCGGCATGACTAGAGCAGTGGAAATCTCCTCCCAAAACCACATATATCTATGAAAATATAACAAAGATAACTCTTCCTAAAATAGAGACCAGAGGACACAGGACAACATCCAGACCACATCCACACCTGCGAGAACCCAGCGCCTCGCGAAGGGGGTAAGATACAAGCCCCAGCCCGGCGGG